CTGAAAGGCTGATGATTTCCGGTGTATCAGTGCATTTGTCTGTATGCATGAAGGTGTGTGATGCAGCACACCGCGAAACAGTTTTTAGAACAGCCCATTATCTCACCCATGTAGCGCTGAGTGAGTTGTGTTGCATCAGTGAACATAGTCAAACCAGATATCTCTCAGTAAAGGACAGAGATGAGGGACGAGTCCTGGTTAATTTGTAACCACACTGTCAGCTGACTCTCGGAGCTCCTGTATATAAGGGGGAAGTTTCTGGCAAACTTTCTGCAGCAAAGAGGACGTTAAAGGTAAGCATAGCACTTTATTGGAATATGCTCAGGTTTTTAGATAACTTTAATTACTGGGTAACTTAGACTTACCTTTATTTATAAAGGTTGGGTATGGAAGAGAAGCTTTGTGGAAAAGGTGACAAAATATATCAATATTTGAAAGGCAAATCATATCATTGATTTGTCCTGTTTAATTTAAAAGTATTAACCTGTCAACGTTTAATTTTATTACAAATATGTTGAATAGGGTTGTACATTATAAAATACTACTATGATCTACTGTGGTCAAAACTAACTTACGTCCTTTGATTTTCCCAGGACAGGCTGTTAAGATGCGTGGTATCTTTGCTAGTTGTGCTCTGGCAGCAGTGCTGCTGGCTGTAACCTGGGCAGACCACCATGACCACCATGACCACCACGACCACCACGACCACCACGACCACCACGACCACCATAGCCACAGCAGTGAGGGAGAGATGAGCTGCCACAAGCTGTACTCTCCCAACGCCGACTTTGGCTTTGCCCTCTACAAAAGTCTGAATGCCAAGGCTGCAGCTGGGAAGAACATCTTCTACTCACCGCTGGGCATCTCCACCGCCCTGTCCATGCTGTCCACAGGGGCCCATGGTGAAACCCACAGCCAGCTCTTCTCCACCTTGGGCTACAGCAGTCATGACCAGGCACACATCAACGAAGCATATCAGCATCTTTTCCACATGCTTGGCCACAGCCAGGAGGACCAGCAGCTGGATGTCGGCAACGCTGTGGCAGTGCGCTCCGGCTTCACTCCTCTGGAGAAGTTCCTGAAGGATGTCAAGGCTTTCTACGCCGGTGAGACCTTCAACGTCGACTTTACCAAACCTGTTGAGGCTGCAGCTGAGATCAACAGATTCATTGCCGGGAAAACACAGGACAAGATTAAAGATATGGTGAAGGACTTGGACCCTGAAATGGCCATGGTGCTGATCAACTTTGTCTACTTCAGAGGTAGGACACAAAAAAAAAAGCCTTTAAGAGAACAGACCATGCATGCAGATTAGCCAACTGCTTTCATGAACACATAGAGACACTCCATCTGCACAAGTTCCTGTGCACATTTCCTTGTGTTGTTTTAAGGACAGAGCATGCGACGTACTGTATATGTGACATAACTAGTCTGAAAGATATGAGGAAACATGCCGCCAATATGATTTGAGTATATGAAAAGTATCTACATTGCTCTCATCTTTCCACCTCCACCGTCTCACACAGGACAGTGGGAGAAACCCTTCGATAGTAACCATACACACAAGGCAGACTTCACCGTGGACGAAACCACCAAAGTCCAGGTGGACATGATGAGGAGGATGGGACGTTACGACTTCTATCAGGACACTGACAACCACACAACCGTCATCATGCTGCCCTACAAGGGCAACACCTCCATGATGATCGTCCTGCCTGATGAGGGCAAGATGGCAGAGGTGGAGGGCTCCATCAACAAGGACTACATTAAGGACTGGCATGACAAGCTCTTCAGGAAGTAAGAGAGGAATTTGAATACGTTTGCATGTCGTGGATATGTTTACAGTGTGGTTGCTTGTATATTTATAGGTAATGCCTCAGTGTTTGTTGCAGAGAGACAGCATGCAAATAACCTGGATAAACTAGTTAGATAAACTATGATAAAAATGTGTCCATAATTGGTGCAGCTCAAGTTGCGTGAACTAGCCATAAGTCAACGGTATGTATCATTCTGACGCTGCTGATATTCTGTGTTTCTCAGTTCTGTGGATCTGTTCCTGCCAAAGTTTTCGATCTCCGCTGATGCCTCCCTGGACGACACGCTTAAAGAATTAGGAATGACAAACGCTTTTTCAGACAACGCTGATTTCTCTGGCATGTCTGATGTGGTCAAGCTCAAAGTCTCAAAGGTAGGATTCACGTGTTTCATATGAGAATTGAGAGCGATAAAGGAATATACCTATTTCATGATGGGATATTCACATTTTCCTGAACACACGAGAGTAGACGTTGCAGAGATCCTTTTCTGGCTCGTAGCATCTGAAGTTTTCAGAGACGTGCGCCGAAATAAAACTGGACACTCACTGCCTCCTCCTGGTTCCTTTGCAGGTGTCCCACCAGGCCGTGCTGAGCGTGGATGAAACAGGAACAGAGGCAGCAGGCGGCACCACCCTTGAAGTCATGCCCATGAGAATGCCCGACACCATGATTCTCAACAGGCCCTTCCTGGTCTTCATCTTGGAGCATTCCACTAAGAGCATCCTCTTCATGGGCAAGATCAACAACCCCGCAGCCATGTAAAGACGCTAGGGAGATGAGTGTTACATTTGTTTGTTTTCACACTGCAGGACGTTTCAGTAGCTTCTGAACACTGGCTCGTCTTTTACCTCAGCATCTGAAAGCCCCTGTAGAGATGTCGCAGTGATAATAAGTGATCTGATCTGCCAGCGAGTCTGTTAGTCTGTTGATTCGTTTGTAGTCTGACAGTATGACACTACTACTACCATCTGTCACCTGAACCTGGCTATGGGTGAAAATGTCTAAATACATCATTATATACTGTATCCAGCCGACTGTTATATATGACCCAGTTGATATAGAACATTCGTACGTATCGCATGAAGCATCTGCTAACACACTGAGCCAACGTGTTACTGTGGTGTTGCTGTTTCAATGTGGTTCAACATTAAGTGAAAAAAATAAAGACTTGTCAATACCTGGCATTTTGTATTTATTTCTATATGTATTATACTTTCAATCTAATCTTGATTTCATGGATTTAATTATCTGAGGCTGTATGGTATACGTTATTAATGCTAAAATTTTTAGATTGGCTACCAGTTGATTTTCCAGATTAAAATGTGTTGAAATGACTATTCTAATTTCTGGTGTATCGTTTCACGGTTATTATTGTGTGATGTAACCGTAAGAGTACACGCCATTAATGCAACTCATCAGAAAACACACAACTAAAATACCGTACCTCACCAGCGGACTGAAATAGAGACTGTTGCTTGTTTAAATGAACTGTCAGCTGACCCTCTTGTATCTATAATGGTGAAGCCAAACTGCAACAAAACGGACACTAATCTTTATTGACATATAGCTGAATGTTTTATGTATATAGCTTTAAATTTCTTAGATATATAAATTTAAATTTCCTAAATATGTGACATGGAATTAATTACATTTAGAAATAGACCTTTTTCTTTATGAGGAAAAAAAGACAAAAATATCTTTTGTGTTTGTTATGTAAAAGTAAAAGTCACTAACACTTGACAAAATGAACAGTGCTGCCATTTCTCACTGTTCCAGTCAGAAACACACTACTGCAGCCTGAAAGCCAGAACAGAGAGGCTCAGTGGGAGCGTCTTTCCTCAGGATGTCAGGATCCACAATGAGGATACCTACAGCCGACATGTTGCCCCCGCGTTGAAGACGAAGTGACAGTGCTCTTCTGCTCCTCCTGTGTCCTTCTTTCCTCCGACTCAATTTTGCACATTGTGCTTGTATGATTGAGCATTTGACAATTAAAATTTGAAAGAGCCATGGTCACACATGGAGGCTTGTGTGTAGGCAACCTTTATACCAGAGCATTTCTTTTTAGGGGCACAAATTGTACAAAGTCGTAGATCTCAACAGCATAAATATGTTTGTCTTTTTACCTGACAAACTGGTGAAAATGTTGAAAAATGCCCTATATCATAATGTTTAGGAAAGTGGCAAAAAAAAAAACCAACTAATGGGACCGCATGAACCACCTCTTCCCCGAGTTTGGTGCAAATCTGCTTAGTACATTTCGTGTAATCCTGCTGACAAACAAACAAACAAAAACGAATGTGAAAACATAACCTCCTTGTTGGAGGTAATAATGTTCCCCGCATTAAGCACTGGGTGAAGATTAATAACGACAAAGAACATAAAAATCAGTCACTCTCACTCATTCATCCTCTGTCCTCCTCCCTCTTACTGCTAATGTGGATTCACTGCTGGCCAGGAAGCGCAGGTAGAGGGAGGAGTGCCTGGTTTGGGAGTGAGGACCGCTTTCTCAGCTATGCATACTTATTCAGCTTTCCTTTTAGCTGCATCATAGCACTTTGCTAGTGGCCCCACAAGCTTGTTATGGGTAACTCATAGCGGTGCTGGATGGGAGAAAGCTGAAAAATACTGCTCTTCTGCAAGTTTGTTTAACGGGTCTTTTGATAAGTTACTTTTATTGGCTTTTTACTTGTAAAGGTTTTATGGCACGTACAGTAAAGATTAATGTATTCTAACCCTGCTGTCCACTCTCTGTATATGTGTGTGTGTGTGTGTGAAGGAGCTCAGCCCTGCCCTTGGTCCTAACGCAGACAGCAGAGGAACGGAAGACAGAGTACAGGCTGTGTCCAACACCACGTTTTCCTATCTGCTAATGAAACTCACTGATCTCTCCAAGGTCAGGTTAAAGTGCTTCTTACAAATGTAGAACCAGTCTTGTGCTGAAGTCAGTGGTTAGAATTAAGATTCAGGTTAATATCAACAGGGGCTTCAACACATTTGAAGTCACACTACAGAGCCTGAGCTTTATACCAAAAACGCCCAAACTCACCATAGTCCTTTGCTCATGCTGTGTGTGGTTAGTTGTGTTACATCAGTAAAGATTGTCTTGCCAGAAATCTCTCAGAAAAAGAGGCTGATGCTAGTTAATTTGTAATAGATCCGTCAGCTGACCCTTTTGTATTTGTACTCTACTGCATGCAGGACATGGTGAAGTTTCTGCCAAACTGCAGCAAAAACAGGACACTAACGGTACGACTAATGGCTCTTCACTGAAATACGCTTAATGTTTTATTTGACTTAGAGGTACACTGTGTGGGACATTTGGAATGAATTACATTTAGAAGTGAAGCTTTGAATACATAGGGACAAAATGTAAGATTGGGTTAGGGTTAGGGTGATGTGTGTAATGTGTGTAATGTTCAGAGGTAAGATGATCATTAGCAGTTCTTTTTAAAAAAGTACTAAGTCACTACATGCTGTCATTCTTATTCTTTCCATTCATTACATTATATAAAATGTATTATTTTCTTTTAATTATAATTTTTTTGTTTTATTCGGTTTTCAGTCTTGGTTATGAGGTTGTTTATTATGAAATATGACTATAACTCGCTGTGCTTGACATCCACTAACAACGTTTTCTGTTTTTTCTTTTCCTATAGACAGGCTGTTAAGATGCGTGGTATCTTTGCTAGTTGTGCTCTGGCAGCAGTGCTGCTGGCTGTAACCTGGGCAGACCACCATGACCACCACGACCACCACGACCACCATAGCCACAGCAGTGAGGGAGAGATGAGCTGCCACAAGCTGTCCGCTCCCAACGCCGACTTTGCCTTTGCCCTCTACAAAAGTCTGAATGCCAAGGCTGCAGCTGGGAAGAACATCTTCTACTCACCGCTGGGCATCTCCACCGCCCTGTCCATGCTGTCCACAGGGGCCCATGGTGAAACCCACAGCCAGCTCTTCTCCACCTTGGGCTACAGCGCCTTAAACCAGACTCAGGTCAACGAAGCGTATCAGCATCTTTTCCACATGCTTGACAACAGCCATGAGGATGAGCAGCTGGATGTCGGCAACGCTGTGGCAGTGCGCTCAGGATTCACTCCTCTGGAGAAGTTCGTGAAGGATGTCGAGGATTTCTACGCCGGCGACATCTTCAAAGTTAATGTTACCAGACTTGAAGAGGCTGCAGCTGAGATCAACAGATTCATTGCTAATGAAACCCAGGACAAGATAAAGAATGTGGTACAGCAGCTGAACCCTGACATGGCCATGTTGCTTATCAATTACGTCTACTTCAGAGGTAAGAAGCAACGTCGCATCTATTTCTTGTTGTGTGCTTTACAACCAGGGAAGGACACAAACTCACCACATGTAAAACAAACCAGTTTCAATGATGTAAACGTTAAGAATGATAATTGTAGAGCATGCTGCAACATTTTAAAACAAATACTAATAATAATTTGCATTGACATACAGTATTTACATTACTGTCATCTTCCTGTCTGCACTGTCTCACGCAGGACAGTGGGCGAAACGCTTCAACGAGGAATTCACGGACGAGGCAGACTTCCATGTGGACCAGACCACCAAAGTTCAAGTGGACATGATGTCGAGGACGAGTCACTACAAGATCTACAGGGACGATAGAAACCAGGCCACCGTCATCACAGTGCCTTATAAGGGCAACGCCTCCATGATGATCGTCATGCCTGATGAAGGCAAGATGACGACAGTGGAGCGAAACATCAGCAAGGACTCCATCAAGCACTGGCAAGACTCGCTCTCCATGGCGTAAGAGGAATCTTATTCATTTTTGAATCCTCAAACCTGGTTGGTTGTCATAGATACAGTAACAGTACACTTAAGAATGCTTTGGTGTATGTTGGGATCAGGAGAGGTAACATAGTAAGCAGTAGCTGGATTTCCTTTGCAGTTTTGCACATGATTTCAACAAAACACAATTGCGAATGGTCCGTGTTTCCATTGAGTGATGTTATGTGAATAAAGTTTGGTTTTCTCTTGTTGCGATATCATTCCTATTAAACATGGCGATGGATTTCCAGCATCTGCTAATCATTGGGACGATTGCATCCACTGCAGTAGCAGTTGTAGTATTTAAATGAAGGTGACGAGGGCGTCTGGTGCACGTAATGACGGGAAGGCAAACCCCTTATATCTGGCAGCGGCTACATATCAGGGATCTTTGGGAGATAATAGTTATGTGACTGCTCAAGTCATGTCATGTGACTTAAATGTGGAAAAATTCTTTCCATTTCACTTTTGCAAAACATTTTGTCAAATGGTCTGAAAAACCACCTCATGCGAGCATATACATTTTTTTGCGACATTTGAGAGTTTTTTTTTTCTCCAAAATTCAAATGTTTCCGTTACTTGGTTTTTAGTTCGCAATTTCAAATAAGCAGGTTAACGGAAACGCACCTAGTGATCGGATCAATGTAACCTGGATGACGTAGCCATTGGGAAAACAATGACCGGAATAGATGTGTTTGATTTACTTCAACAAATGATGTGTTCATGGTTCTCACAGTTTAATTTGATTAGACAAGGTGTTATTAAACTGTATATTTCTGTTGTTCTGATGTTGGTGATGTTCTGTGTTTAACAGATATGTAGATCTGTACTTGCCAAAGTTTTACATCTCTGTGGACACCTCCCTGGATGACACACTGAAAGCAATGGGCATAACTGATGCTTATGAGGACCGCGCTGATTTCTCCGGAGTGTCCGAAACAGCCATGCTCAAAGTCACAAAGGTAGAATCAGAAAACATTTCTTCTTATGTTTGTTATGGGAATTTAAATTCTAATGAACAACAACTCCTTTTCCACTGCATTAGCAGTGGTTCAGGAACAACTGCAGAACAATGTTTACAGTGTACACCCTTTAGCCCCCACAGTTTCAAGCTACACTTTGACTACCTCCTTTTTTCTCCACAGGCGTCTCACAAGGCAGCGCTGAGCGTCACTGAGGTGGGAACAGAGGCAACAGGCACCACTTTCACGTATTTGATCTTGTCCATTCCGCCGCAGACTGTCAGAATTGACAGGCCCTTCTTGTTTTTCATCCTGGAGAACTCCACTGGGAACATCTTCTTCATGGGCAAAATCAACAACCCCACAGCAACATAAAGGCACACAGCAGAAAAATGAGAATCATGATCATAAGTGTCATCATCATTGACTTTTTAACCATCACACTGGTGTTGTAGCACTTGTAAATGTACTTGTTCGTGTCACTGGTGGAAGTAACTCCATAAAAATGTCTTTAAAGAGACTCAATAGAAGATAATACAGAAAAAGTGATCGTGATATATATATTTTTCGAACTCAAATACACAATAAATAGTTTAAAAATATTTAAGTATGATTAAGTAATTGTATTCAAGTTTACATATCATCCTTGGTGAGTTATAATTTTCTCATATCTCATTCAGGCTTACCTGAACTATATTTGGTCATAAATTTAGCTTTGATTTATTTTCTGAAATACTAATATTAATAAATTATGTTTTCTTTACAAATAAAGTCATGTGGGGCAGCTAAGGGTCATGTAGGTCAGTGTCATCTAAATCTCAGCAGTTTAAGAGTTAAGTTTCACATGAAGAGAGAGAGACAGAGAGAGAGAGAGGATGTGTAACCTGATGGCCATCACCCTCACTCGACTCCTCGTCCTTTGACCTGTCAACAGAGGAGTTGCTGTAGAGGTGTTTACACAATCAGTGCACATATACTTTGTCTCCCCTGTCAGCGCCCACACACACACTGGCTTCTGTGGAGGACATGAGTAAGAAGTGTGTGATTCAGAAAGCTGAGTGGGCAGCCCCTTTAGCGGGCTGAAACACGTCCAATCTGTCCAGTCTGCTGGACACAAACAGGTACTGTGGAGGACTGGGCAGCACTGAATTAGATCAGAAGATGCACTGGTCATTTCTTAGCTGACTGGCACTCAGCGAGAAAGTTTTAACTTCATAACTAAAAAAATCACATACAGTGCTTATCAATTTTGAACTACTTTTGAATGCATGCTGTTCAACTTTACATTTTTGGGGTGTACTTTTCAGATATAGCTTTCTATTAATTCCTGTGCAGCATGGAAATCAATTAGCAGACTCTTGAGACCTGCTTGAGTTGTGTAATCAATCACAGTCAACATTAAGTTACATTATCTTGGCGCAGCAATGCAGTTAAAGTGCAGAATAATTTGAAAGGTATTCACTGCATTACCTCTTAACGATAAGATGTCGTATTGTCATATTATGCAGAAATCAATAGAAAAACGACAGCAACCTTGGATGAAAATAAACCAAATAAATAAAACTGAACATTGTTTACAAGTGATTTGTAGTAAATGGACTTATAGATGCACAACTACTGGTACGTTCCTTGACTGATCAATAGGAAGGAGGCCTTGTGAGGTTTGACCAGACAAACAGAGAAACAACTGAGTCTACTAGAGAAGATAATATCCTCAAATACCCTCATATATTTTTACTTCTTCTCTCTGAAAATGTTGCTTCCTGACTCACTGTGACCTCAAACTGAACATCATGAACATACTTTCACTAACCTAAAGCTTCCCAGTTTTTCACTGGACTCTGTTTCATAGTGAATTACAGAGAACTATTTCGAGGATACTATGAAATGCATAGACAGTTTTTCACTCTGAATTTTAATCTTTGTCTTACCATGGTTTTAATGCTCACATGAATGATGTGAGCATTACTTTTACTTTTTCTCTCCCAGTGATTATATATTGTATAATATTACTGAACATATCCTGCATGTGTCCTGAGTAAGCAGTTTTTATACATTTTTACATAGAGGCAGGGAAAGACAAAAGAAGACGCAAAAAATATGGTGAAAACTATTTTTTACTGTACATTACTTTTTAAATTTACTTAATATCTATTTGTTAATTAATGTTCTTTCTCAAACAGCAAACAGTGTTTCATTATTATACAGGACTGTGTCACTGATGGCGGTTTCCTGGCTAATTCCCAGTTCCTGGCTCCAGCCTTGCTGTTAACACTGCAAAGATCAGACTGGAAACAGTGTCTGTGTGTAGGAAAGCTGTTGCTGCTGTGTATTTATTCACCAGTGTAGCACGTGCTTGCGAAATGTTGTAGCTTCAGGCTAACAAATAATGGCAAGCCTGATATATTCGGTTAGTATTAGTTTGTTAGCTGTGCTGAGTACCCAGAGTTAAGCTAATGTGTCCCGACACACCTTGAACACTGCTCGGTTTTTGGTCGCAGATAACAGAACTCAACTAAAACACAGCTACTACACTAGCTCCTCCTCGTCAATATCACTCTAACATTGACAAAGTGTCAAAACCAGACTAGACCAGAAGAGTCCTGTTGTTTATTTGCATTACACACTGTTACAATCCAGGTTATTCAGATAAAAGGAAAGATTTGGAATGAATACAATCTGATTTACCAGCAGAGTCTTTATCGGTTAATTAAAGACACCGGAATTATTATCTGAATCACCCTTTCAATAAACAGACTGAGGTATAGTCCTCAGGGTGTGGTTTAAGACCTGCATACTTCTCAGTGAAGTGGGGGGTGTTCGACGCAGAGTTTAAGCCCTCAGGACCTGAAATACAGTTTAGGCATTGAGCTCATAAAAGTGTAACAGCTTACTGCAATATAATGGTGCACAGTCTTTACACCTTTAATAAGCTTGAAAAGAAAGATTTCGTCAGATATCTGCAGGTCACAGACTACTTCAAAAAGAAACCAAACAAATGGAGGATAGTGAACCTTACTTGGTTCAGAAGCATCTAATATCATAAATGTACAATACAAAAATCCAAAACAACACCACTGTCTTTGTCAGTTGTAGAGAATCAGGCCTGAAGACATTTGAGGATGACTGGAAAGACACCAGGGAAAGCCAGACTGAGACACAAAGTCAAGGTCCTGAAGAGAGTCCTGCTGGAAGAAAATGATTTAATATTTTGTGACTGAATAATTGAAATCTATTCAAAGGGGTCCACGGGGTCAGGATAAATGACAGAAGCAATGTGTTTAAAGTGGCAGACTATTTTCATATTTACTGGGCTTGACCTTTATTTTTTCATAGTGGCAAGAGATCGCTAAAGAAATAATGAACCTTTGTGCAATCAAAAGTTATTGCCTTTTTGTCGTGTTACACCTGGGCAAAATACTAGAATATGGTATAAAATACCATCCTGACCAAGCCAACACTCCTGGCTGCTCGCAAGAAAGCCAACACACAGAAATGGCTGCAGCTAAACCCTCCATCAAAGGACAACTGGACAATTTTCAATTAAATAAACTGTATAAATAAATTTCCCTTAATGCAAAAGTGCAAAATACTGGAAATATGGACTGCATATATATGTCTGTAAGAAGTAAGCCATTGAATACGTCACTGAGAGACCCTTTTCCTCTAAGTATAATGTTGAGAACATCAGCCAAGAAGAGTCAGTTATGTCTTTTTATGATCATACCTCTTTGCTTTTTTCAGTATACAAACTTGCTGTATGTATATTAAACACAGAGAAGATTCACACACATAAATAATACCGTAGTGACAATAAATCAATGAATAAAAAAAATAAAAAAAATAGAATTACAACTTGATCAATTATGTATTAGCAAAAATATGAAAACAAATTAGTTTAATCTCATTATTTTATACGTAGCTTTCTCACATTGGAGCCTTTTACTTATGTTAAATACATTCTGCAAGTGAAATATATTATTGGTTAGTATGGTCTAATGTACACATCTAACTTATCTCTCATGGTGTTATTATTTTAATTGGCAAATGTTATATTCCTCATTATCTTCTTTCCTCAAACATAATTGTTAATATCTAGATTTATATTCTCCATGTATATTTATGTGTATTAAGAAATCAGTAACCGCATCAGCAGAAGCTAATGGGGATTGTACAAAACAATAAGCAACAAACAGGCGATTAAAACACGATTACGTTACAGTGAACGAGTAGAGAGCAGATTTTACCTTGATTGCGGCATCTTTACTGGTAGCAACAGGCACAAGGTCAGTAGTGCAGCAGATGCATCTATGCAGTCACATTGAGGAGAACTCTGAAATCATCTGCACTAATCGTGCGCACAGCATCACTCGCTGTCTAACCCCTATTTACATGTAACTGTATGAAAACAGAAACCAGAAACAGAAACCTAGCAGGCCACATCGCTCAACACAAAAGCCCTGGTGCATCCTGGGAGGCTTCCACCTCCCAGGATGCTACAATGTAAACTGGCTGACAGTATTGCTAATGGAGTAAACAGATTGGCCTGTGTGTATTTACAAAGGTGTAGATGGTCATGGCTGCATGTTAAATAGTGTTTTCTGCACATATTTAAATTTTCTGCATGCCAAACACTGTAAAGGAAACTACAAGTAACATTTGTTATTGCAAAGTGTGTCTTATACAGTTCAATTATACAGGCAAATTTCAGTCTGCACTCTAGTATGCTTCCCCCTCCTCACTGCACAAACTCAACATTATTTCTGAGCCTCTGCACAAAGATGTGTTCATTAGTGTCGAGCTCCACGACTCTCTCTCTTCTTCTAGTGAAAATCTCTCAGATCTCTCCGCTTTGGTTATTATTCCTGCTTGAAGAAGATCAAATGCGTGGTACGCATGCAAATCAAGACATGATGTGACACATTGTGAAGTGGGCATCTATAATGCATACACCGCCAGGTTGAGGGCGTGCAAGTCCTAACGCCAGTTATTTTAGTTTGACGCTCTCTCACGCGGCTCATTCTGTCGGATGTGATGGGAGAAGAAACGGCGTCTCACTGCAGTGAGACTGACTGACAGACAAAGGCAGGGAAAAGACATAAAAACAAACTGATGAGATAACTGGGTGTTCTCAGGTTTTTTGACATCACACATTGTGTATTCCAGTGTTCAACACATGCATGACATTCAGAACACAGACTGCAGCAATCTGAAGGAAGAACTACCTAAAAATTCTGTTTGTTCTCACATCAGCTGTCATATGGCTTGATCACACCTATGACTTTTCTGAATAATAGTAGAAAGGTGTACTTTGCTGCATTTCTGTCATCTGGTTGTTATATAAAGTGCTAAAGACACGCGCAATGTCACTGCACACAAAACAAATCTGATAACTTCACTTAAAGCTGCTATAATCAACATTTTTGTATTAACAATGGTTCAAATAATGACGTCTATGTGAAAGGGGTTGTTTGAAGCGACAAATCCACAGACGGTTGTTACCCACTGCGCAGTTTCTATCAGCTCCATGGAGCATTTAGTCTCTTTCAGCTCAGTTTTGTTTTATTTTTTGGTTTGCAACTTTACTGTTTTTCAACCAGGCAGCTGTTTTTAGCAAATAAGTTCTAATAAACCAGCTGTAAGCTTCCTACCGAGCACAGAAATGCAGACAAATTCAGCGACTAGCTGGTGAACACAGCATTTAGCTAAAGAGCCAGATATTTCCCTCAGGAGTTAGCGCAGATGAAAACCAGAACTGAAAGGAGAAATAATATTGGACTACATTAATCAAGTGGTTAGAAACATGACAGCAAATTAATGTATGAACTGAATGTGTAAATAAGCGACTGCACATTCACTATCCTAGCTAAAAGTCATATGGTAACCTCGTATTCACAGCTTGTTTCTGCTGCCCCCCTAAGTTGCTAAAAAAAACCTTGACTTTGATTTTGATGAGCTTGGCTTTTTTAGTATGAGTAACTGCAGCAGGCTATCAAATGTCAA